GCTGGGGTCTGATGACCCCAGCCAGATGCCTTTCCAACCTGCTTTTAAAAACCCCCAGGGTAGAGGAGAGCACCACTTCCCTTGGAAGCTCATTCCAAATTTTGGTCACCCTTACCGTGAAGAAGTTTTTCCTGATGTGTAGCCTAAATCTGCTCTTCATCAGTTTGTGACCATTGTTCCTTGTTACCCCAAGAGGCATCTGTGATACCTTGTTGCCCCCCACCTAATGAATTTGTAGGCAGCCACAAGATCACCTCTCAGTCTTCTCTTGCGAAGGCTGGAGAGGTCCAGGTCCCTTAGTCTGTCCTCATAGGGCTTGGCCTGTAAACCCTTAACCATACTAGTCGCCCTCCTCTGGACCCTCTCCAGGCTATCCACATCCTTCTTAAAGTATGGCACCCAAAACTGGATGCAGTACTCCAACTGCATTCTGACCGATGCCTCATAGAGGGGAAAATCTATGACCCCCTTGGTTCTATTTGTCATGTTATCTGCTGATACATGATAAAGTGCAGTTAGCTTTGCTGATGATTTCATTGTATACTATAGTTGCTGGGAACTTTTGTACTTGGAAAATAAAGCATTTTTAGGAGAGTGTGGAACAGTCCATGAGCATTCATTTCTTAGGACTAGTAAACAGGAGAGGGGTGTCCCTTTCCTGTCCCTCCCTCCCCTTTAAAAGGCAAAGTTATTGTTAAAGAAATAGGTAGGGCTTGTACAATTTACAAAATAAATGCATCCTACTGATTTGAACTCTTTTCTTTTCTTACTATTCCAGGTAAAAGTTGAAGGTGAAGGTCTCCCATGTAAAGAGGAGGAATACAGACTTACAAAACTAGGTCGTTATAGTGCTCTAGATATTCACCGCGTTCCCAAAGGCAAAATTTCTACTGTGGAGCTTTTGACTTTTCTTAATAATCATAGACTGCATCCTGAAACATGGACTGCAGAGAAAATAGCAGAGGAATATGGTTTGGACCTGAAGGATGTCACTTCTCTTCTAAAATACCTTGCCGTTTTTAATATGGAAATTCCTTCATCTGAAGATAAAAAATATATCAAATCTACGTAAAAATGGTTGCCAGAACTTGTTTAATCTCTCTGGTGTTTTCATTTTAATCTTAAAATGTATCATTTGCCCTGGAATTTGTTGACATGTAACAATAAGTTATTTTATTTAAATGACTCCTACATTTATTTGGGCAAGTACATTAATTATATTTTGGCTCATAATCTACTTTACTCGTGTTAGATTAGGAGGCAGTTGAAATCTGCAAGAAACGTGGCAATATGTTAGGATTAATAAATGACCTATTCAAATTAATCCAATTCTGGGGGAAAGATTTAGTTAAAAAGAAATTGCTACTTCCTTGTGAGATAATGTTTTTCATTTGATGACTTTGGATGTTAGTTGAATCAATGATATATTAACTTACTGTGGAAGTTTATTCTGGTCTGTATTGTTATTTATGTAACATAGTTTGGGTAGGGTCACACAGAATTTTCAAGCACATAGAAATTCTCTCCAAATTATCCAGCTTTGCAGTACAAACACCCTGTCTCATTTTTAAGATGAAAAAATTTGCTGTTGGATTCTAAGAGCAAAAGAAGGTGCTGAGGAAATGCTTCTGCCCTTCTTTTTAAAACATAAAATGGTAATGCCTGTACAGAATGTTATTGAATGAAGCAATAATGCCAACTATCCATTCCATTCTGGGTGGACCCAACTACCATAGTTTTCTGTCAGAAATTATTCATCAGTTCATAGACACAGCTTGTCCAGTTTCAAGCTACTTGCAGTTTTGTTTGGCACCTACATGTAGGTATGGCTTACCTCATGACACGGGTTAGTGCATAGTTGTTAGTTTGGCTGGCTACTCTTTTCCATGTCATTATCTGTGCCTGTTCTGCACTATTTCCACTTCCCTATAGCAACTGTGTACTCTTGTCTTGAGACAGTAATGTAGACAACAGACTTCTTGCTAGGAATCTCTTATTGGTCCACAACCATAATGTTGTCACTGCACTGCCACACTGAAGGTAAACTGCATCTTCTGCTTTTAGCCAAGCATCATCTCTGCTGTAAAATTGGCATAGGCTGACTGCAAGATGTAAAGCTTTTAATAGAGCTATTTAAAGTATAAGCAAAATACTGTCTTGCTCCAGTAAACAAGTACTGCAGACTACTGCTTGGTGATGTTCAATGTTCACGTCTGTGTCATTTAAAAGGAAGAGACAGAGTTGGGGTGGGGGTAACCTTGACCGTTTGTAGCTCAACAATTGCATTGCGGCTTCCTTGAAGTTTATGGTCATTAGTATCTTTAGGATTAATAATATACCTTAAATTTATAATTTACACCCTGAAGTGGGGAAAATACCAATAAGAGAATATAGGGCTTTTACTAAGCACTTTTTTTTACTGCAGAGTGCTTGACTTCTGACATGCGATAACATTTACTAAAAAGACTTAAGATCAAGTTTGCTGTTTCAGAGCAATTTTCTGTTCATATGAAAATGAAACCAAACCATTCTCAGCAGAGAATGCTGGGAGGCAAGTAAGAATGTATACATCACCTTTCCTAGAGAAAACCAGTTTCAAGTTATTTGACTGTGGCCAACTGTTCCTTGTATAAGAATATCAAGAGTTTCTGCACTGATTAAAAGGGCCCCTCCCTAACTTTGAATGGAGCTGGAACCTTGCCGGAGCTAGAATGGAGCTAGAACTGGAATGGACACAGCTATTTTATCAGCAGTGTGTTGGATATTAAGATTTGTTCCTTTGTCCATCAAGGACTTCTCTATACTTAAAATATACCGTGACAAGAGTGTGTGTGTTCTGTTCAGGTGTTATTCTAGGTAATGTCATTTGGCTCTCTCTGTCTTATTAACCTGTAAAACTTTGCAGTAGCATTCAAAAAGAGCACATCTGTACTGGATGTGTACTTTGACCTACAACCTCAGGGCTTTAAAGTGCTTTGCTGTGTATTCTCACTTTAAAAGTGGCTTTCTCCTATGTATTGAATGTTGTTGCTGTTGTAAAAATTTACCCCTCAAGCTATGGCGCATAAACCTCAATAATTTATCACAGTTTTTAACTAGCTTAGTTCATATACTTCAGCCTGCAAGAGCAGATCTTTATTCCATAGCTCCTAGAATTGCTTAGTTTATATTGTCCCTTAACACATCAAATATTTCAGCCTTCTAATCT